ATTGGGGGAGTTTTTACAAGGATCATTAAAGAATCAAAAGCCAAAGAGAAACATTTTCTATTCCATGGTTTGGAGGGAAAAGACTTGACGTGCCACCTGTCCATTCCATATGGGACAATTTAAAATTGAGATTTTAGGAACAATTTGAACTTAATTCTTCAAACTAGACAAGTTGGTCAACCAAGGGATTGTTTCATTTTCTTTGAGAAATCCAAGTTCTTTGTGGATATCAGAATATTAAGCTTTACCAACTTGATATATCTACTGTTTTTCTTGATGCTTCTTTTGCAAAGAATTTCCAAATATTTTAAGTATATTTATTTTAAGGTTTGATGTTGAAAAGCTCCCTAGTGAGGAGTTTCCCTACTTACAGAAGTGTATTTAGAGTTCTTCTTTTTTAGATGATCTGGAAATAGTGATCCCTTAAATTAGAGTATTTAATCTACCATGCAAGATTTGCCTTCTTTCAGGTATTTTTTTTCCCTGGGCATATGGTTTTCAGAGAAAATCACTTATATTTCAGGAGAAGTCAGTTCTGTTTATTTTTAGTCTAACCTTTTTCATTAAGTGGCAATTTCAAGAGTGCTTTCAAAAATTAACTCATCTTGCAGGAGACCCATATAAAAAAAGATCAAAACCATTTGTTAGAATGTCGGGCGTTGGGTAAAACTTATACCTCATTAGCAGGTCAAAAAAAAAGAGGGACAGTGGTATATGTATGACATCATTTGAAATCCCAACAGGTTTTTGCTGACCAGGAAGGCCGGGTTCTCATGCTTGAAATAGAAATTGCCCAGTGGAAGTCTTTATTGGTTTGTATTTATGTCCCTAATGACAATTGGAGGACTTTTTATCAAAACTTATATGTTAAACTGGGGAAACTGGAATATGAACATGTCTGTTTAACGGGGGATTTCAATGCTGTAACGGATAGAATGCAGGATTATGCCCCGGGCAACATAACAAGGAAGATTGAAGGATGCAGGCGGTTAAATATTGGGAAAAAATACGGCAATGGATTTTGGAAATTACACAGATTAATTTGGAATTAAAGCCCAAGATTTTCCTATTGGGGGCAAAACCTTTGAATGTTAAATCAGATATATGGTTCTTGTTGATTCACATTATTACTGCAGCAAGATTAGCGTAAGCGCAGGAGTGGAAAAATCAATACTTACCAATGGATTTGAAAATAATATATAAAATTAATGAGTGTGCGGAATCAGATAGATTAACTAGATTGATCAATGGTAAAAAAGATTCAGAATTTTATAACAGTTGGAAATTATGGTACGATTGGGTCCAGAAAATGTGGGATAGAATAGATATATGATGATGTATATATATGATGGCAAATATGTATGTATAAAGGAATGACTTTATATTTATGGACAAGGTAATTACATTATACCATGGTGGCAGGATTGTATATTTTATTGGTGTATTGGTGTATAGAATATATTAATAAAAATTATTGGAAAAAAAATTAACTCATCTTGCAGTACAGTCTTGTAGTTGTTTGATGGCTACTATCATTATTATGATTTGGATCATACCCTGTAGCTAACATGATGTCATCATCTCAGGAGCATCATATCAGCATATCCAGCTGATATCTCCCACCATCTATCCACTTTCTTGATGAGAATTTGGCAAGTCAAGAGACAGCCTTTCAAGGTTGCCCAGTGTTATTGTGACATGTTATAATAACAAAATTATGCAAATTTACCTGTGTTTTTACTTCCTTCCTTCTTATACACCAGTGAATCATGAAGGACCTAGTCTTGTTCTCTACCTGCTAATATCCCTTTTCCTGGGGCTTCTGCCTTTTTTGTTTTTATAATGGCTTCTGAAGGCCATTTTTGTAATGGCTTCCAGGCCATCTCCATGGCTTTCCACAGATGGAAAATTTCACAGCCTAAGAATGATTCCATTTTCAAGTATTCTTTGGGTTCTCAGCCCTCATGTTCTTCAGCATCTGTTTTCAGGGCCTTTGCTGATGGGACCCTTTAGTTGGTTAAATATTTAAAAAGGGGATCCAATTCTCCTAGTTCCTAAGCTGGCTTTATTAATGCCAGTAGATGTTTTATTCTAGTACTGAACCTATGGCACGTGTGCCACTGGTGGTACATGAAGCCATATTGCCTGGCACTCCAGCTTAGCATTTGCACCGACCAGCTGATTTTTGGCCTTCTGGGCCCACCAGAAGTAGGGAAACAAGCTGTTTCCTGCCTCTGGAGGGCCTGATGGGGGAGGTGGGGAGGCCAGTTTTTCTTTCTCACCTGGCTCCAGATCCTCTCTATGCATCTGAGGAGGGCGAAAACAGCCTTTCCCACCCCCTCGGAGGCCCTCCAGAGGCCCAAAACGGCCTGTTTTCCAACTTTTGGTTGGACAGGAAGTGACGCTTTTGGGGACAGAAAAAAAGTCACTTCCTGTCCAACCGAAAGTTGGAAAATGGGCCATTTTGGGCCTCCAAGGGGGTGGGGAAGACTGTTTTCACCCTCCCCAGATACATAGAGAGGATCTGGAGCCAGGTGAGAAAGAAAAACAGGCCTACTGGGCCATCGCATGTCAGGAGCGGAGGGGGGAGGAGGGGTCACACACACATGCACAGGGCGGGGTGCATAGAATTATGGATGTGGGCACGCAAGCACGTGAACCTCCCCCGCCCCCCCCCATCCTGGCATGCAATGGCAAAAAGGTTAGCCATCATTGTTCTAGTCGGTTGGTCGTGTTCATAAAAACCCTACCATTCGCTTCCTTACATGTTTTTTATATCCTATAAACTTTTCATACCCAGAAAGATCTTATTGATTGACATGCCTTGACCATAGTGTCACAAAAAGTAATACACTTCCAGAGTTTATTTAACATAGTCTATTGAAAGAAGGTTGAATAAAATTGCAGGAATTTTTGCAACTGGATTCCCCCCCCACCCTTAGAATTTAATTCATCCCCCAAGTTTCTACACTGAAGAATTTTTCAGCCTCTTATTTGTGGCTTCTGAGTGAACTACTGATAAGGCTGTTGTGGTCCCTGATAATAGAAGAAAGTTCAACCATAGAAATGTGAAAAATTCAATTCTAAGCATTTCCTTGCACCTTCCCACATATAAAGATACTTATGTGTTTTCCTGCTAGAAAGTATTTTATCTTCTATACTAGAGATCTGTAGTCTTTCACCAGAATTCAGACTACTAGTTATCCTGGATAGCACATTGAATACAAAAATAACCTTTTCATCTATAATGAAGGAGTTAAAACAGAAATCCACAACCATTTCAGCTAGTAAGAATATTTGGAATTTTGAGAGCATGGCATGTGCAATCAGACAAAATGGGTTCAAGGGAAGTGCTTACTCAAAAGATGCCTGCCATCATCTTATTTACCCAAAGACAAAGAGATGAAATTTCTTCTGTCACTCCAAGATGGTTTTTAGTCCTACCATCTCAATGGACTGTTTGTTCATTGGAATAGATGGATACTCTTCCAGGTAAAGGTTAGAATTTTGGCTGTATAGCATTTAAATTTTCTAGGAAAGTATGTGGGACCTAAATGTTATCTTGGAAATAAAAGGCTTTGTTTTACACCAAAATGTTTCTTTAAAAAATTCTGGCTTGTATCAAAACAGATATTCCTGTCCATGGCTATGTTGGTATCCATTGTTGTGGTCTGCCAGCAGCCTGTGGAGCTGGCAGCAGAGTCAGACAGTGAGGAGGCTGGGGAGGAACATGGGCCAGTCCTGGAGTCTGGGGAAGGCCTGGATGAGGGCTCTGTGTCGGAGGCAGAGATGGGGCTAGGGCCATCGGGGAGTTATGTGCAGATTCCGGAGCCTCCAGAGTCAGGCAGCAGAGAGGCAGAGGAACAGGAGGAGCCTGTTCCTAGTGCACGCATGCGCAGAGCTGCCAGAAGGCATGAACTGTTAAAACAAAAGGGACGACTCGGGAGTAAGGCCAGGAGATAATTGGCCCTTCCCATAAGGCTTAAAAGAAGAGCAAAGGCACGTGGGCACTTTGCAGGAAAACAACGTTGTTAATTCTGTTCCCAGACGGCATCTCTGTTTGATTCTGGAATCTGTGTGGCTTTGCCAAGTAGGTCTTTGGCAGTGTCAAGGGAGATAAAAGGTTGGTGATTATCCTGAAGGACTTATCCCGAAGGACTTTTTGTAACTAATTGGGACTCAGCTGTGAATGAACGTAACTCTCACCTGTTACAATAAAATAGGTTTATTTGGGACTAATTGTGTCTTGTAATGACTCAGTAAAGCCTAGGTCACAACATCCACAATGGGAGACTTCATAATTAAAGGGAGAGCATCATCATAATAGGAGTATTATATAATGAATTAGGACTGGTTCATGCAAATTGAAGGTTTACAGTATTAGTTTGATAGCATTTAGAGGCAGATCAAGGAAAGCGAGTCTGGTAAGAAAAGATGAAATTCACACCTACTCCAGGGGGAAAAAAAAGCTACATTTCCAGAACTAATTGACCATGACACTTTGGTAGCACTGAATGCCTCGCAGAGATAGATCAAGATCCTGGCTTCTTTTCATTTGGGCATAATGATCTTGCTGGCATTTTAATGGGAACCAGAAGTGTAAGGTGTGCTCTGTGCTTTTGGTCTGCCTTATGTTCCTCAGTTCAGATGCATGTAGCAACTGGTCTTCTGTTTGGTCTTTTTGAGCATGGAGGAGGTGATCAAACTTGGAGTTTGCTGTGGGAAGGATGGAGGGACAGTTCAAGGCTGCAGGAATCATGCAAAAATGGAGGAAAGAACATATTTAGTTTGCAATCCTACGTGCAATCTCCTGGGAGCAAATTCCATAGCATTTCATGGGAGCTTTCCCCTAAGGAGATTGATATAAAATGAAAACATTTGTTACCCAATTTTCATAATATATCTGCATTGCAACTACATTGCTGTATACAACTTAGAAAAATAAATAAATAAAAGAATCTGGCATTCCAGGATATGATTCTGTCTTTTATCTTTTACAGCAACTTCAACAGTTATCGATAAGAACAACCTTAAATACAGCGGGAATGTGTTTACCCCACGATTTCCAACAACTTCAACTACTACCTCATTGAAGCAACCGATGTGGCTGAGTTTGAATTATCCTCCACCTCCTGTTTTCCCCAATCACTCAAGTTTCCCTCAGTATCAGGTAATAGTGGCACATATGCTTATTGTGGAGTAATTTCTAAGGTTTCTAAGACCAATAAATCTGTCTCTACTGAGCTGGAAGGAAAGAAAGTAGAAGAGGATACAAGGCTACAACATTATTGGCATTCTAGAAGCACAAGGAAATTAAGGATTTTTTTTCAGTAGCAAGATAAGCCATATGTAACCCTTTCTCTAAAATAGCTTGTCCCTTGAAGCACGGATGGCCCTAACTTTCCTGGCCTTCCTGAAATAGGTGAAAACATGGAAGACCCATGGGAATAAATTGTATATAGCAGGACAAACTTATCCAATTCTATAATTATATATTTTTTGGTTATTATCTTATATTTTGGTTAATGTTTTTGATTCACTTTATTTTGAATTTGTGTCCTGCTTTTATTATGTACATTCCATGAGTTGTCTAGAATTCAGTTGATTGTAGGCAGATAAATTTCATTCATAAATAAATAAAGTGGAAAGGTAGATAACTGGCAAGATGTCACAAAACTGGCAATGGCATAGGGTTAGATTTGTAGGATTACCTGATATTTCAGGACTAGACAGACTCTGGTTTATGGTATTTTGATGTCAGTGTCAGCTTTGGAAGGCATATTAGGCCGGAAGCTTCCATGCTGCCACCTTCTCATGTGTGGGAAAGTAGGAGGGGGGGATTTAGTAGAGGGGTTATCTGTAGACATAATAGCATTCTTCTTGTCGGTCAAGGTCAGGCCGATCCTGCATCTGGAGAAGGAGTGGTCGGGGTGCTGTCTCGAGATGGGACGGATGGTGATTGGAGCATGTGATCGACTGAGGAGTGAGGGGATGGTTTTGGGGTTTTTGATTTACTGTGGGAAAACCCGGGCCTCTCAGATTTCCCAGATGTGCCAGTTTACCTATTCTAGTAAATAGAACTTTGAAAAATGCTTGCTTCAAAGTTTTACTTGGAGTTGGGGGGTTTTCTGGAATGCTGACAGAAAATGTTTGTTTAATGGCTTACTGTGAGGGATGGTGCCTATGGAGGGGAAGGCAGTATGATGGACAAAACTGAAGCAGTAGTTTCCCAGGAAGGACGAAACACATTCCAAGGAGGCAGGCAAGACGAGGTAGCACAGCTTGGGTGTGGAGCAGAGACAGAGCAAGAGAGTTAGGATAGCTACTCACAGGGTATATCCATTAGTGAGAGAGTAGCATAAATTTATAGGGATGTGGTGGCTCAGTGGTTAAGATGCTGAGTTTGTCGATCAGAAGGTTGGCAGTTCAACGGTTTGAGTTCCTAGTGCCGCGTAATGGAGTGAGCTCCCGTTACTTGTCCCAGCTTCTGCCAACCTAGCAGTTCGAAAGCAGGTAAAAAATGCAAGTAGAAAACTAGGGACCACCTTTGGTGGGAAGGGAACAGCGTTCCGTGTACCTTTGGCTTTTAGTCATGCCGGCCATATGACCATATGACCATATGACCATGGAGACATCTTCAGACAGAGCTGGCTCTTCGGCTTTGAAACGGAGATGAGTTGGGAATGACTAGCACATATGTGCGAGGGGAACCTTTATCTTTAGCATAAGTTTAGTTTGGCAAAATGCTAGGGTTTTTTATGTGAGCAAATAAAAAACTGATCTTTGATGGCATTGTTTTATACCATTCTTGGGTGGTAATTAGAGATGATGATGATGATGTCATCAGTGTACAGCATATGCTGCCTTTTACAAGAGAATAGCTTAATTTAGCTGCAATCTAAAACTTTGTTCATACAATAGAAAGCAAATGGAAATGGACCTTCACCAAAAAGAAGCTTGTATCATTTCTTACATGCCTTCAGTAGGTTACAGATTACTTTGCACTAAGTTATGCCCTAGTAACATCAATACTCATGATATTAATTGCAATTATTATGGATACAATTTTCTGCTTCTGGGAGACCAGGCCAGGGATGGAAGAACTGGTTAATTACTGTTCTTCGATAAGATTTCATTAAGGATGGGCTAATTTAAGTCTGGATCCCACTTCAGTCTTCCCAGTTGCACCTGGTTGCTTCAGATATTAAAGAGCCTCAACCCTAAAAAGACTTCCAAAGGAGGACTATTGAAGATGGACACAAGACTAGAGTGATGATAATTGAGGTTGTTGGGAATCAAAAGCAATCCCAATTTTCTTCCACGCCATCAGCCTTGGAAATATTCAAGCACCCCTGCAAATCTCCCAGAATTTTTTCTTCCTTATGCACTTCCTTGGCTGCTGTGAGAATAGGCTACCATACCAGATAGGCCAAGCATCCAATCCAGTAGAGTACTGCTTATGTTAAGGATGAGGGACATTCCAGGACCATTGTGGAGAAACCTCCTGGCTTCAGCATCCTCTGCCTGCATTTACCAGGAATAGGAGACAGGAATTAGTTCAGTTTCTTCTGGGAAAAACACTGCTAATAGGTCAAATACAATTGGAGAAAGCAAAAGGGTCCTTCTCCCATTGTATTTGACCTATAGAAGGGAAGATTATGCATTACTTTATAGGTTAAAGCCAGCCTCTGGCCAACTGCATCTGGTATCAAAAGCTAGGTAGGTTCAAGTATCCTCCAGGAAATTCCAAGAAATCAAAACACAAAACACAGCAATAATAAATCATTTTTATGTTGTCTAAAAAACTGCTTATCTTGTCTGTGAACCAGTGGTGGGTTTCAAAATTTTTTACTACCAGTTCTGTGGGTGTGGCTTGGTGGGTGTGGCATGGCTTGGTGGGTGTGGCTTGGTGGGCATGGCAGGGGAAGGATACTGTAAAAACTCCATTCCCACCCCACTCCAGGGGAAGGTTACTGCAAAATCCCCATTTCCTCCCGATCAGCTGGGACTCAGAAGGCAGAGAATAGATGGGGGCAGGGCCAATCAGAGGTGGTATTTATTGGTTCTCCAAACTACTCAAAATTTCCACTACTGGTTCTCCAGAACTGGTCAGAACCTACTGAAACCCACCTCTGCTGTGAAGGGATGAGGAGTCAGGTCTGTCAGAGGTTCTTGCAAAAATCAAATCCAGAAGCACACGCAGATAAACTGATTCATCAGGATTCATTAACTTCTTTATATACAAGAATATATATATATATATATACAATACCAACAGCAGATTCACAGTTTCATTTCATTTCAGATCAGCAGACAAGTTCACCCACACAGCTTCACAGCTCAGAGCTTAACACACACACTGGTTTCAGTTTCGTTTCTCTGCACAGAATCAGAAGCTGCAGACTTAAAACATGCCCTGGCTCCAGTCTGTCTCCGCTCCCAATTGGCTGACTTAATTGCTATGCCTATTCATTGGCTGACCTTGTTACCATGTCTTCCCAGTCATGAATATTCTGACAAAGTCAACATGAGGATATCTTGACTTGCATCTCACCATGAAAAATGCCCTTCCTATGAAGAGGACAGAGTGACACACAAAATGTTTCTGTTTTTTTTTTTTAATGTTATAAATCTACTTCTTGTAGGGATTTCACATTCCCAGTACTCAGATGCCATAGTGTTTGCTCCCATGATAGTTTTTTTTTTCTTCATGAAAAAAAATGATAGTTTTTTTTTTCTTCATTCTGGCCAATGAACTTTTGATTCATTGGCCAGAGTGATTTTTAATTGTTACCTCAGCACTACTGACAGTGAGTTCATCTTTGGAGGTTGTTAGTTTACTTTTGTAGGGCATGAAGACAAAATGATTAAAGATGTCCTTTCTTAAAATGTAACTCTTTTTATACCAAGTCATATTATTTTATTCTTCATTACAGAAAGTACCGTAGTTCTTATTTCTGTGGGTGATTTTGTTATATGGCTGTCTGCAAATTGTTTTTGTTACTGTAGTTGTGGTTGCCTGTATTTTAAATTCATGTCAAAATGAAAGAAAATCCCATAGTTTTCTAAAGCCCTGTAGTGAAAAATCCCCCCACTCCTTCTTGTCTAGGTATTCTTTTAATAAAAAATCTTTCACATTGTCAGCAATGGGAAGGAAATGATTTATAACAGCTCAAGGGCTTGTCTAAATTCCCCCAGACTGAAGATGAGGCTGAGGGTTAGAATTGTTTATGATGCCCCATTGAACTCATGTTCTGCCTCTTTTTCCCTTGACTCATTTTCCAATAGTTAGAAAACTGATTTTAGAGAATTGGGAGGGGGAGGGATTTGAGCTTCAGATTTGCTCTTTGATGTTGGAGTGCTACCTCTCTGTGAGTTTGGAGGAGGGGATTCCAAACTATTCTATAGTTCCTAGGATGGCAGTCTAAATTATTTTGGTTTGATTGGATTGAATTGTTCTAATGTTTGAGAGAGGGATGCGGTGGCTCAGTAACTAAGGTGCTGAGCTTGTCGATCAAAAGGTCGGCAGTTCAGCGGTTTGAATCCCTAGTGTCACGTAACGGGGTGAGCTCCCGTTACTTGTCCCAGCTTCTGCCAACCTAGCACGAAAGCACGTAAAAAGTGCAAGTAGAAAAATAGGGGCCACCTTTGGTGGGAAGGTAACAGCGTTAAATGCGCCTTTGGTGTTGAGTCATGCCGGCCACATGACCACGGAGACATCTTCGGACAACGCTGGCTCTTCGGCTTTGAAATGGAGATGAGCACCGCCCCCTAGAGTCGGGAATGACTAGCACATATGTGGGAGGGGAACCTTTACCTTGGCCTTTAATGTTTGAAGAATCATCTTAATGGCTTCTTCTTCTTTATTTACTCCTTTGTTTATTATACTGCATTTTGGTTAGGAATTTCAGACCATTGCACATTATAAATTGATTTTTCTCTTATTCATTTGGAACAGAGTTTGTATCAGCAAAGGGCACGGATCCCGTACCAGCAAACTTTACATCCTCAACTGGGGTGCTATTCCAGACAGGTACAGTGGAAGTTCTGTAAGTCACCTGTAGCATCAATTGTGGGGACGATTGTAAATCTGAGAAGATCTCTGTGGCTTTGAGTCATTCCATCTCACTCAGCCTCAGTCTTTTAATTGAAGAGGGATAGTGGCAGTAAATCCCTAGAGAGATAAGAAGGCATTCTCTAGTAACAGTCTTAATCAGGGATTGCCAAATACAGACCATGATTGTTTCCAAAGGGGGGAAAAAGGAATCCATGCTACAACCAGTGCTCACCCTGTACTTGGAGTATGCCAAGTACAGGGTACTTGTACTGGTACCCCAAAACTTTAACCTTAGACTGTCTACTGTTGACCTCACCCCATTCCTAAGAGGTCTGTAAGGGGCGTGCATAAGCGCATCAGCGTGCCTACCTACCTGTCCTAATATTCCTTTTTACTTACTCTTTTCATTTATTCAAATTATGTTTATACTTTTACCTGTTATCTTATATATGCTTGACAAATAAACTTATGATTATGATTATGATTATGCCTCATTAGAATACCACCGAGCCACTCCTGTGATGCATACAGCATCTTGGGACAATCAGTTTTAAGCAGTGAGTTATGTACTATAAATGAGGAGGAGGATGGGGTGAAATGCTACCGGTTCGGGCCAGTTTACCCGAATCGATAGTAATAATTGCTACCATTTGCCCGAACTGGTAGTAAAAAAATGCTTAAAAAAAAGATGACAATCAGCTGTGCTGCACGATCATTGGAACTTTTTTAAAAACTTTTTTATCACATTTTTTTACTACCTATTCACCTAAACCGGTAGTAAAAAAAACGCTAAAAAAAACTAAAAAAAAAAAAACTGTTCCAACAATCAGCTGTGTGACAATCAGCTGTGCCAGGCAACTTTTTTTTTTACTTTTTTAAAAGCATTTTTTTTACTAATAATCAGCTGTGAGACAATCAGCTGTGCCTGATTGTCTGTGAGGTTCCTGCTTGTTGCAGGAGCCATTTTGTGTGAAGTCCAGCTGCTTTTGCATTGTGTGTGAGTCAGTTGTGTAGCTTTTGTGTTATTTTTTTGTAAAGTGCGATAGTTGGTTTTTGAGCTCTCTGTGACTCTGTGAGGTTCCTGCTTGTTGCAGGGACCATTTTGTGTGAAGTCCAGCTGCTTTTCTATGGTGTGTAACAGTTGTGCAGCCACACCCACCCGGTCATATGACCATGAAGCCACGCCCACCTGGTCACATGACCACGAAGCCACACCTGCCTGGTCACATGACCACCAAGCCATGCCCACCCAGTCACATGACCAACAAGCCATGGCCACCAAGCCAAACCCACAGAACCCACAGTAGGGAAATTTTTTGAATTTCACTATTGATGCATAGGGATTTTTTTGATTAAATAAAAAGAAATTGCTACTTTCCTAAGAGATCCAGGTATGAGATAAGCAGGGTCAGACTTGTATAATATTTGGATAGGTGATCACTATCACAAAGTTATACAGGGAACTAGACTGGGAAATCAGAAAATAAAGATTATAATGCCAATCGATGTATGGAGGAATACAACAGTCACCCAATTTGACCTGACCTTTTCCCCTGCCAAAAGGAAATTCTTTTTCAGGTTTTGAATGTGTAGATAGATGGCCTTTCATAAAATGAAATAATTTCATAATCAACCCCAAGACATGAATTTAGGGCTTCTCAAGAAAGATGGGAATAAAATAAATAATTACATTAAGCAAACTATAACTTTTAAAGGCAAAGGATGTAAGATTGTGTCACTTTTACCATTCCTAAAAAGCGCTAACAACTTAGTCTAGATCTCCCAAATATATGAATGAGGGATAATATATGAGCTGCTTAGAAATAGGTATTATTTTCCATAATCAAGACAGATGGGTTGCATATTTCTTGATTAATATATGCAGAAATTGTACAACGGTTTAATTTTTTTTAGTTCATTTTCTTTTTTAAAATGTTTCCATTCATGTGCTCCTGATATATTTTCTAAGGACTAACCTGAGGAAAAGGAGACACAAGTAAAGGCTTGTGGCAGCAGTGAAATAAGTGCTAAGTTACATTTCTCCCTGCATTTGAGAATTCTAAATAATTTAGCATTTATTATGACCGCTTACCTCAAATACATGGCTCTGGGCAGCTTTGTTCCTGAAACAGAAATAAAAACATTCAACCTCAATAATTCGCACATAGATCTTGAGCAACCTGTATATTCCTCACCCCACCTCAAAATTATTTTAATTTGATGAAAGAAATTTTGATTTATAAATGATTTTTAAAGGCAAAACAATTGAAGAAATCATTGAAGTTGGGAAATGTAGGCAGCCAGAGTGGCTTCTGAAAGATGGAGAGACCACCATACCTCCTCCTAGTTCTCTTTAGAACTCGGGGTCCCCAAACTTGGCAGCTTTAAGACTTGTGGACTTCAACTTCCAGAATTCTCCAGCCAGCACAGCACAGCTGGCTGGAGAATTCTGGAAGTTGAAGTCCACAAGTCTTAAAGCTGCCAAGTTTGAAGACCTCTGCTCTAGAAGGTACTTAAGATTGAAGTTATAAAACAGAAGCCTCTTCATAGGGGAAGAAAACTGAAGAACAAGGCAGCTTTCAGCACAGTATCCATATAAAGCTGCAACTTTCATTAAATTGCAAATGGCGAAGGCACAGTTTCATACAGCCTCCCCTTTGCTGCCCCCCCCTCAAAAAGAGAACAGTTTGATGGAGAAGAATAACGCAAAGAAATTGGCAACGTGCATTTGGACTAGATGTAGACTGATTTTGGATCTTCAGTTGATGCACCTGAATCTTTCTATTTCCCTCTTATGCAGGGGTGAGATGTTACTGGTTCGCTCTGGTTCGGGCGAGCTGGTAGTGATAAAAAAAACTATCGTTTCAGTCGAACCGGTAGTTAAAAAAAGCTACGATCGGATGATCAGCTGTGCCGTGCGGTTTAGCTTTGCTAGAAAGCAGGATTTCCTGTTTTCTAGCAAAGCTAAACCACATGGCACAGCTGATCCCCCCCCCTCGCTGTTACTTGTGTGCAGGCACAACATGCACCAAAAGGAGGCTTGGGAAGGTAAGCAGAACAGCGAGGGGGGGAATCAGCTGTGCCATGCGGTTTAGCTTCGCTAGAAAGCAGGAAATCCTGCTTTCTAGCAAAGCTAAACCATGCGGCACAGCTGACCGTCAGATCGTAGCTTTTCTTAACTAGTTTTTTAAATGTGCAGTGTGTGTTTGGTGTGCACTGCACATGCACACACAGTGCACATTTGATGTGCATGCGTGTGCATGGCGCACATGCTCAGCCAGAGAACCAGTAGCAAACTGGTTCAGATTTCACCACTGCTCTTAGGGCTGTAAAACTGAGAAGTTCCTTCTCAGGCTTAAATCTATTTTCTTCATGTATTCAGTGGTAAAAGAAGCGTAAACTCTCCCAGAAAACATTTTTATTTTATATTCTTTTCACTTGAGAATTCTAATCTTCCCAAAGAGCCTTGAGGACAAAGGGAAAAGAGAAGAGAGTGGACATTCATATTCAAGTCTCTATTGGATGAGGAGATTGGTGGGTCACTTTAGAGTTAACCTTAGGCCATCCTACATTTCAAGGTTGTTTTGATGGGGATGAAATGTATGCTTCCCATACCATGAAATCTATGGTTAGAATGTAAAGGATATCTCTGCCTGTTTCACAAAGTTGCATAGGGTAGGCATCCTCCAGGTTCCCTGTTTGAAATAATGCTACCTAATGAGACCTAGAGGGTGAGTAACTTCTCTCTCCTTTGACCTAGCAGTTTGGAAGCATGCAAATGCAAGTAGATAAATAGGTACCACTTCAGTGGGAAAATACCAAGGACAGGAAAGGAGCCTCTTGGGCAACGGTGATGTCACTTGGCTAATCCTTTCAACCCGTAAGTGCCTTGGTAGGTGTTTCCAACACAAACGTAGTAATAGCAGTGATTTCTCTGTGGCTACAACTTCCCTTTGGGATGAGTTTCCCCATCTTCAAGGTATGGATAAATGGACCCTATTGGCCTTTCCCAGAATGACCGGTGACCTGTGATGTGTCTGCCAGTTTTCATCCCCAGTTTCACTTGCATGTTGATTATGTTTTGGATGTTGTTGAGGGGTTTTTTTCCCCCTTTTTTTGTTTTTTTCCCCCTTTTATTTGTTTTCTTTCAGGGTAATATTTTAGAGTCATATATTATGAGAGGCAGGGGTGAAATCCAATTTTTTTTCCCTACCGGTTCTGTGGGCGTGGCTTGGTAGGCGTGGCAGGGGAAGGATATTGCAAAATCTCCATTCCCACCCCACTCCGGGGCCAACCAGAGGTGGTATTTGCCAGTTCTCTAAACTATTCAAAATTTCCGCTACCAGTTCTCCAGAACCTGTTAGAACCTGCTGGATTTCACCCCTGATGAGAGGGGTGATTAAATAAATGGATGGATGGATGGATGGATGGATGCTGGGCCAGATCAAATGGGAGTCTTTCTACATTCTTAGACACAGTCATTACATCCTACTTTTTCTTCCTGTTCTACAGGTAACTCCTTACAACCCACAGCAAATCTTCCGCTCACCTTACACTCCTGTCCTCAGCTACATCCCTTTGGTTCAACCTGGTTATTCTTATCAGCAAAGGAATCCAACCAAAGCTTCTAGTAGTGTGCGTGATCCGCCAGCAATGGCAGGGGATGGGCCTCAGTATCCATTTTCTGCTTCTTATGGGTAAGCAGCCTATCACACTTCCTCTTTTAATGTCTTGGTGTGCATGTGTGTGTGACAAGAGAGTGTCCTTGATTATCGATTTGTTTTGCTATTATCACTAAACCCCTTTGACAGTTTACAAATTACTTTAACCAAAATAGAGGGAACCTAACTTTGTGGAACATAAGGAAAATTGACACTTGATTAACATACGGTATTAACAAAAAAAAATAACCCCAGATGTTTACAACATAGATAACTCAAAATGGGATTTAAAACAGATTTACCTATTTCTAAATATTATATATAGCCCATCAGTGCTTTTTTTGGGGGGGGTCCTAGAATTATTCTTAAACTTGTTGCCCCATGTGATATATGCATATAATTTCCCAGCTAGTATGTTGAGCATACCTCTGGACTGGATGGGGGATTTTGGGAGCTGAAGTCTACATAACTGATATCTTTCAAGGTTGAAAAAGGTTACAACTTTCTACCAGCATTTCCCAATTCCCTCTCTCCAGCCATCTCCCCTGTTTGGAATATAATCCAGTAGAACATTCCCAATGTGGCCAATCTTTGACTAGCAGTTCCCCCATCCAATCATTACTCACCATTTGCAGGGTTAGTATGAACATCTCAGTGTCGTTTTGAATAGCATAGGGCAGTGATGGTGAACCTTTGTGGCACTGAGTGCTGAAAAGGGAGCGCACATGCTTATTTGGGTCACAACCCGGAAGAGCAGCTGCCCAGGGTCCATGCACATGCCCGAAAATGAACTTCCGGTCCAGCTACTCTTCTGGGTTTCTGGTGTGCATGTATGTTCGACAATCAGCTGGCTGGCGCGCATGTTCACGCAGGAAAATGGAAGACCAGCTGTTCCAGTTTCCAGCACTGCTGTGCACAAAAAAGGCCAGCTGATCATCGCATGTGCATGCGCGCCAGAAACCCGGAAGAGGAACAGGCGACGCCGTGCATGCCAGGCAACATGGCTCTACATGCCACTTCGGGCATACATGCCATAGGTTCGCCATCACGGGCATAGGGATTGCTACCTTTCACTCAAATTTGAAATTTATTCCGTTTGGGATGGAGAATAGATTCTGAAATTGGAAGAATAGTTGCACATAGATATTTTAACCCTTTCCAAGGGGAGGGAAGCAAGGTTCAGTATTTCTTCCTCTTCAATAAAAGATTTTGGGAGATCACAAAGGGGATTTATAAAGGACAAGGAGGAGTTTTCCTTTCCGATAAATTCGCAGGTACGAAATAATAAGAACTGCAAGAATAGCATTGATGAATTGGCAATTTTTAAAAATGAGAAGCAAAGAAGCCACCTACTTTGCATTGCAAATCCCCTTTCTTTTCCCTTAAAAAGCACTCCAAATAAGAGGAGATTATAAATGGGAAAGTACAGTGGGGGGGGGGAAAGACTAGGGAAAAAGATCAGAGGGGAAAAAAAAGTGTGTATGTGGGGTGGGTGAGGTGGAGAGAAATGACACTGATTCCTATTTCATGCAGAAAATAGCTCGCCCTCTTTATATGGGGTGTTTCTTGGCCCAAGGTCATGTTGGCAATTGATCTAACTAAATAGGGCAAAGAAGAGGTGAGTGTAGACCAGTGGTGAAATCCAATTTTTTTTACTACTGGTTTTGTGGGTGTGGCTTGGTGGGTGTGGTGTGGCTTGGTGGGCGTGGCTTGGTGGGCATGGCAAGAGAAGAATACTGCAAAATCGCCATTCCCACCCCACTCCAGGGGAAGGATACTGCAAAATCGCCATTCCCTCCCCACTCTGGGGCCATCCAGAGGTGGTATTTGCCAGTTCTCCGAACTACTCAAAATTTCCACTACTGGTTCTCCAGAACCTGTCAGAATCTGCTGGATTTCACCCCTGGTTATTGTGGCCCGTCAGCGGCCTGTGCAGATTGTAGCTGATTCCAACAGCGAGGAGGCTGGTGTGGTGCTGCGCCAGCAGCCTGTGCAGCTGGTGCTCGAGTCAGACTGTGAGGAGGCTGGAGAAGATGTGGTGCCAGAGGCAGGGATTCAGCCAGGACCTTCAGAACCTCCAGAAGCTCCCTTAAGTGAAGAGGACAAAGAGGAGGAGCTTCTTCTCGATGCTGCCAAAAGGAGGAGGTCTTCTCGAGAGTAAGGCTTGGGCTAATTGGCCACTCCCTTAGCCTATTTAAGGAGGAATGCTACTTGCAGCAAGCTGTAGGGAACAACTTTAGTTCAATCTCCTTCATGTCTGGATTCTCTGCAAAATTATTTCTGGGCTTTCTGCCAACTCTAGTAAGACTGTGATTACCTTATCTTAGAATTCTGGTAGGCTGTTAAGACAGTTTTATTAACAGCCTTTGGTTGATAAAGACTAAGTTATTTAAGTAAAATAAGCTTTGTATAGAGTTTGTGTGTGTTGCGTTCTTTGGGGTCTATAGCTGGGGCAGAACACTGGTGCAGATCCCATAGGAATTGCCTGCTCTTAAACTCGTAATATTGAAGATATGATCTTAACATTATATACAACCCAAAAATGTTGTGAGAAATAGATGTGGCTGTATATCCTATTTATCATTCTGAAACAGCCTTTTAAAACACCCTGGAAGGGCTATTGACCTTACTTTGTTTCTCCATCAATGCCTACCATGGCTAGTGAAGCTTCATTTTTTGGGGGGGGAGTTGGAAAACGTGCAGTCCTTCATATTTTACTTGACTGCAGTTGCTGAATTCTTAAAGCTTTTACAACTTTCACCAATAGTTCCCCCCCCCCATTCCAACATAATTCCCTATCCAGGAATACCAATTGGTTTTATTTTCTTAAATCTCTCAGTGACTTTCCATTCCTTCTTCTCTTTCCACCAACCTCAGATTGCCTTCTAAAACATGGTTTTTCCCCTCATTCTGATCCAAAACCTGATCTAATTCTCCTAGTAAACCATAATAAGATACTCTTTTTTTAAAAATGTGATATTTACATTCAACTGTTATTTCTCATCACAATAGATATATAAGGCCACTGTGGTTTCTTTAACCAAACATAGCTTAAAAACTGTTGACTTTACACTATGTGTAAAGTACTAATACTAACAATATTATTCGTACCAACAGAGACTATTATTATTACAGGTCGTCATCAAGATATGACTGTAATGGAACCTGCCCATTATCATTGCATATTGTGACAGTTGTTAGGTGAAGCATCTCACCTAACACCACCAACCCGCTCTTCTCAATGAATTGTTAAACCAATGTGTGAGCCATTAACTGGAGCACAGGATGATTCAGGTGGTGGTGGTGGTGGGAGGCCATTGGAGGCTGAGTACAGGCACAGGATCGCCTGTCCTGGTTCTCCCAAAGCCTTCTCCACCCCCTGAGATGCCCCGTGCTCTGTTTTCTGTCCCCTTGAGTCCCCATAGTCTTTTCCCCACTCTCACCAGATCCTCCCACTCCACTAGGCCAAACACCCTCCTCCTCATTTACTATTTGAAGAGCTCCAAGGCCTTCCAGAGTGTTGGAATGAATTGCTTCTTTACAGGGCCAAATGGTGCAATTCCAGAACAGCCACCATTTTGTTCCACCAACAAAATGGCGGCTGTGTTCAGGTCATCAATGTGTGGATTGAGTACAAACGTGAGCCTTTTCACTACCTGAATGAGGTCTGCACAGCATTGCAGAAGCTGCTGAACATTGCAGAGAAAGCTTCTGCAGTGTTGTGCACACTTTGTTAAGACAGGTGCTACAGGGTCTCTGTGAATTGGGATGGGAAGAGAGAGGCGGGGGTTCTACAGCACTCCTATGGTTGGTCAGAAGGAGGGGTTGCAGCCATCATAACTTTGGGTTATGTAGCTTTTGAAGGATCTGTCATAACTTTGAACAGTTGTTAAATAATAGGTCATACCTCAAGAACTACCTGTAATTTTTATTTACTAGTAATAGTTTTCATTTAATAATATATTAATTTGTATAATAACTTATTATTATTTCATTTTCTATTTTATTTATTAATATTTTATGTACTACTACTGCAATAAGAATGCTATTACTATTAAAAGAGATTATTCAATAAAGATTCACAATGGGGTTTGGGCATACACTAACAATAATTCTTCTAATTATTCAATAAATTATTTAAAATTCATTCTTTTATCCTCAGGTTCACATCTACCACAGCTGCTCCTGTAAGGACAAATCCGTATTTCTCTTCTAATGGAGGTGGTGGCAACAGTTATTAGAACACTTAACATTTTGTTTTATTAGTTTTGTTATTTTCTTGGAAATATGGACACTTTAGAAATATTTTTGAAATTCTTATAATTGAACATTTTGCTCCAAAGTTAAGGAATTAAGATCCAAATCACATGTGTAATTTTAGGGCTAAAAGATAGGCACCCATCCAAAAGAGCAACATTTTATTTAGCAAGAATGGATAAACATTTCAGCACTTTTTAAAAGAAGTATTTTTTTTTTAAAGACAAGATATTTTTAAAGTTTTTTTTTTAAATGACAAATATCTTTCCTGCTTATAAGTTGAAATTTTCTGTAATAAAAGTGGCTGATTAAAAAAACTAAATCAACAAAATGCTGTTGGTAACTTTTGGATAGAACTGTATCCATCTGTTATTTGAAAAACTGAATCAATTCATTGGATATGATTGCATATTGAGCTAAGCAAAAATGCTCCTTATTTCATTTGAGTTTAAAGCACTGCACGAACCATCTGCTATGATTTATAAATCATGGTTCAAGGCTACAAATGAACCCAGCCCATTGTAATATATTCAATAAACTGTGTTGCAATATATGAATTCAATCAATACCTGGTTTTAGACTATGGCTTTTAAAAACGTTTCAGATGATGTGAATTTGTAACATCTAAGAAAACAAACGGCAGCACTAAAGAATTTACTAGCATCCCTCTTCCTCCCATCAAAATGGAGAAAACAATCAGCTTTGCTGAATATGCCTAGGAAAAAAAGAATGTATGTCTGATGAAGCCGAACACCAAAAGGGAGAGCTATGCTTATTTATTTATATTTATTTATTCAAATTTGTTAATAGCTGCCCAACTGCAATAGGTTCTGGATAGCATTCAAGAACCCCCCCCCAAAAAAAAAATCCACAAAAAAAGATAAAACATAAAACAGAGAGTAGAACTGGATCCTGGCTTTCTTATTCTCCACAGCTTTGTGTGGGCTCTCCCAACTAAGACCTAGGGCAGGGGTCAGCAACCTGCGGCTCTGGAGCCGCATGTGGCTCTTTCACCCCTCTGCTGCAGCTCCCTGTGACTCAAAATATGCCTCACAACCGCCAATGTGCGACACCTACCGGCACACAATTTATTGAGCTTTTCAACCCCCGGTAGGCCAATCATGGATAAATCCAAGAAAAGAAAAGTTTCAGAAGAGAACAAAACATTTAATTCAACTACATATGCTAGTTTTGTGACCACTCAAGAAATAGGCAGGCACGGGAAGGGTTTTGTGGCTCCCGGTGTTTTCTTTTCTGTGGGAAACGGGTCCAAATGGCTCTTTGAGTGTTTAAGGTTGCAGACCCTTGACCTAGGAGGACCTAGCCCACATTCTGTACAGATGTTTCTGAATATAACGCCAACTACTTGATTGTGCCATTCAGTGTATGCTGTTCTCACCTGCGTCTTACATTCTACCACTATGTGTTGACTGTCTCTGACAATTCCCTGCATAGCTGCCCTTGGGTCCCATCTAGTATGATAGACCCCAATGTCTATGAATCTGTTGCTTAGTGTTTGTTTTTGTTCTTTCAGTCCAGCCCTTTCCACCACTGGTAGATTTCCCACTATCTCTTCAGCTATCTGTTGATGGTACATGCAAGATCTTATCTTGCCATGGCACATTTTCTGCTTGATCTTCCTCCCAAATCTGCTGTTGCCTCAGGCATTCTCTCAGCAATTCATCTTTGGGTGCCATCTTACTACTGTATTCCTGAGTGCTCCAGGTTTCATCCATGACAGTGGCTTTGACTCTCACCAGACCCTGAGTGCCCTCTTTCTGGCTAGTGTACAGTTTCTGGATGTTGGACTTGCATGGAAACTTGTGTACATTGTGAAGAGATTCTGGGACTTCACGTCGGCAGCTTCCCTGTCCTTTTTTGGCCAGCTCACTATTGACAGAGTATCTGATTATGATTATGATTATGAAAAAGTCAATCCTACCCCAAAATGCCCAAGCTCTGTCAATAGAGCCCTGGCCACTAGAACCTCATTGAAGCCAGTGATGAGGGATACTTATCCAAGAAAGCCAAGATTACTAACTAGTTATGCCAACTCCCCTGGCATGCAACTAAGCCCAGGCTTCAGGGACACCAAAGCATCGCTTTACCACATTCCATAATCAATCCTTTTCTTTAAGGTCAGCTCAAGACTTGCACTCCTGAAAGCAAGTAGCAAGTGAAAGAATGTAGAATGTAGAATGTAGAACCTCAAGGTCTTCTAGTCCAGCTTCTTTTTTTTTTTTTAATTTGATTTATATGCCGCCCTTCTCCGGAGACTCAGGGCGGCTTACAATGCACTAAGCAATAGCCTTCATTCTTTTGTATATTTATACAAAGTCAGCTTATTGCCCCCACAAACTGGGTCCTCATTTAACCTACCTTAGAAAGGATGGAAGGCTGAGTCAACCTTGAGCCTGGTAAGATTTGAACCTGCAGTAATTGCAGGCAGCTGTGTTAATAACAGGGTGCATTAAACCACTGTACTACCAAGGCTCCTTATTGCTCTCATCCTGTTTTCCTATGTATCCTGTAATTCCCTAGTTTATAACTTTTACCCTGTCACTTATTCTGCCCTGTGCTTTGATTTGCCTTGGGGGATGTACAAGGGGGGAGGGCCATCTGTTTTCTCTCAGTTTGGAAGCCTCACAGAAGAAGCGCATGGAAACGACTCCTTATCTCTTTCTCAGGACGACCGTTTCCACAATATCTTCGTACCTGTGGATTGGCTCATTCAACATCAAACTGAGAGGAGGGGTTTCTAACCACTTTATCCTAATGGAATTCCTGCGGGTGGGGGGACTCAGACCCTGCTTTGCTTTTGTCTTGCATTCACTTCCTTTCAATAAAACTTTTCTTTTGAAATGCTGAAGTTTCGAGAGTCCATGCTTTCTTGAACAGGAAACTTGTCTCATTCATTCTTTGCATACAGTTTTATGTCATCCACATAGAGGAGGTGGCTGATGGTAGTTCAACTCTTGAACATGTATCCCTATCCAGTCTTTGTGATTATCTGACTGAGGGGGAGAGTTCAAGCTGTTCAAGCCTGTGCACAACAGCAGCAAGGACAGTGCATCCCGTTGGTATATGCCACATTTGATTACTTGTGGTTACTTGTGTGACCTGTCTTAAGTTGAAATTCCAGCATTGTCTTCCACAGTCCCATTGAGTTCTTGAGGAAGGTTCTGTTGACTTTGTACAGTGCCAGATTCATATGTATGACATTGAGTCGTAGCTTTTTCTATAATAAATTCAGGCTGTGCTCAGATTGAATTGTCTAGATCTTAAGTCTTGGGGGACTGCTCTATCAAAGCAACTGGTGCCCATTGTTCCCAGTGACTTTCTGAGCTGTGCTCATGTACTAGCCCAGATTTCCTTAGCTTGGTGTCTATGATATCTGATATGATTTTATATACAGTATAATAAAGTGTACATGTGTGCGGGTGTGCAAAATGTCAAGATCTGAAGAAGATCGGTTCTTGTTGGTTACAGCTCAACATGAGTGCTTCACTCACTGAGAAGCTTCCAATAAATTCCATTCAGTTCCTTGGAAAACAATTTGAAATCCACCGACTAAACTCAATAATATTGATATTCCTACAGTGAACAGTAGTATGGCATTCTCTCTGTAGAAACTTATTGGCTTTTGCTCCCTGACTCTGGGAAAATTCTGCACTGGTGCTAACAATGTTTCTCCAGTATTCGTAACACAATTAAAGTAAATGAGATAAAACAATCATGTAGTCGAATTCCATTTCTCTTTCTCTCTTCTCTCTTTTTTTAGCAAGCTGTTGATGACAAACTAGGAGCCCAATTCATTATTGAATTACTTTTACCACAAAGGAGTTCATTAAGTTAGAGTATCCAATAAAAACTATCATCTTTCAATCTGCAGCAAGGCTCTTTTTTACAAAAGAAAAAAAATCACTTAGCAAAAGAAGAACAATTCTTGTTCCTGCGATCCCATCTGCTCTGTTGGCCTGCAGCCCTTTAAATTTACATGATATAGACTTTTTAATACACAAATAGGGAGTTTGTTTCATCTACGGCAGAATTATCTAGATCTGGATCATTCAACTTGTTACCCTCCCGTGCAGTATAACTAAATGGACACTATGGGGTTCTGGAAGTTGTAGACTGATGTATTTTTGTAAAAAGTGGGCTGTCTGATGAATTCTACCTTATACCAGTTTGGGACAGCCTTATTCAAAGTTTTATCCTATTCTTTTTCTAATTAATCTGTCTTTAACCAGCTCTCTTGTTAAAAAAAAACTATTCTGAAAATAAGTATCTCAAGACGATATTAGAGGGTTAGGGTTTTCTCTTAGAATGCACATTTTAACATGTAGAATACTGAGATATATATTTTAACACATATGACAATACACATTTGGCTAAATGTAAACTATGGTGCTGGAGAAGACTCCTGTGAGTCCCTTGGACTGCAAGGCGATCCAATCGGTCAATCCTAGAGGAGATCAACCCTGACTGCTCTTTAGAAGGCTAGATCCTGAAGATGAAACTCAAATCCTTTGGCTACCTAATGAGAAGGAAGGACTCCCTGGAGAAGAGCCTAATGCTGGGAAAGATTGAGGGCAAAAGAAGAAGGGGACGGCAGAGAACGAGGTGGCTGGATGGAGTCACTGAAGCAGTGATGCCGCGTGAGCTTAAATGGACTCCAGAGGATGGTAGAGGACAGGAAGGCCTGGAGGAACGTTGCCCAGGGGGTTGCAATGGGTCGGACACGACTTCATAACTAACAACAAAAACTGTTGCAAACTGTATCACAGTATTTAACAATGTGCAACATATAGTAAAAAGCAGTATTCCAATTTCCTTATATCTTATCCAAGGCATCTACATACCTATGTGTGTCAACCTTGGCAACTTTAAGTTGTGTGGACTTCAACTCCCAGCAATGCTGGCTGATGAATTCTGGAAGTTGAAATCCACACAGCTTGTATTTGCCAAGGTTGAGAAACACTGCTGTATACAATGAATAGATATTTGAAAACTTCAAGGAACTGTACCTGGATCTAAACATAATATGTCCTATTTGAGTTTGGGCTGCTGAAAACTATGGTTTATATGATGTGAAGGTAGCTGATTAAAGCAGTCACTGTTTATCATATGTAAAGCCAAGCAGGAAACCAACAGGAGTTCATAGTGAATGAATCACATTCAATGCCAGGGGCTGTTTGTTTCAAAGTATTGCTCCCTTGTTGTTAGTTGCAAAGTTATGTTTGACCCATCGCAACCCCATTGACAACTTTCCTCCAGGCCTTCCTGTCCTCTGCCATCCCCCAGAGTCCATTTAAGCTCACGCTGACTGCTTCAGTGACTCCATCCAGCCACCTCATTCCCCCTTAATCACAATTTATTTTTTAAGAATTTGTGAAAACTGAAATAGTTCAGTTAAGGCTGAGCCCTTAGTTGAAGTAACCATATCCCTGAATGTCTTCAAAAGTTATGAAAAGTGTATGTCCAATTACCCTTAATATTGACTGACCTCTTTCTGTTCATTCTTTTTCACCAAGATACGATCTGCTCCATGTCCACATATTTCAGT